CCCCCCTGGTCCTGGCGGCGGCTCCCGGAAGCCGGCCGCGGAGTTGGCCGCCCGCGAACCCGCGCCGGTCCGGTCAGGGTGACCTGTTGCGGAGCGGCCCGCAGCCCCAGCGGATCCGAGCTCCGGGCGGGTCCTGCGCCGCGGAGCGGCCCGCAGCCCCAGCGGATCCGAGCTCCGGGCGGGCTGCGTCCTGCGCCTCTCTCGGGCTGGACGCGCGGCCCGGGTACTGGGCGAGGGGCACTCCCCGAGGTCGGCTCGCCTTGCTTCGGGGAGCCGGGAGTATTGGGGAAAAAAGGGAGATTCCGGACGTTTCTGATCACACACTTGCAAAGCTGGGAGAGCCGTCTGCAGATAACCAGAATCCATCGCTGTGTCGGATTAGGTAAGCTCCTAAACACCGTGCTTTGGAGGTGATTCGGGAGAAGCGCGAGCCGCAACGAGCAGCTCCTCTGGAATCAGCCGTAAACCTGTGCGGAGCTAGACCGGCCCCCCACCCACCCCCCTCCGAGCTCTCCTCCTGTAGCTCTAGGAGGAAGAAAGGGCACTGATGTTAGCTGTGGAGGAGGGGCAGTTGGAACACTAAATTTCTGTTAAGAAAGAGATAAAAAGATATCTGATGCTCACGGTTTAAGATCATAAAGTGGAAACACACAGGCAGCAATTGAGCCTTATCTTTTTTTTTTTGTGCCTTGGATTTTGTTTTTGAACGCCTTAGTTGCCATAGAGAGCCTTGTTTTCATGCCAGTGTTCAGGAGTTGACTTTGGTGTGTTTTGTGTTTACCATCTGATCGCCTCTTGTTCCAGTCTTTTTGAAGATGACCATCAGTATTTCGGGAAACTTTTCGATCCGTGGATGCAAGGCATTGCAGTCACACAGCTTGCTGGCCATAAAGCCTGTTCCACCCAGATAATTAGTCTTGTACAAGTGCTGTAGAATTATAAATACAGTAAGCATATTGCTGTAAAATGAATATCTTGCCCTAGACTTTAGAATTGTTGAAGAGACTTATGTTTATACCGCTATCTTAATACAAATAACCCTTAACTCAAGCGTTGCAGACATGAAATATGTAGTTTTAAAGATTTGGAAAATATCTCATTAGCCAGATCTAATGATCAAGTGTAGGGGCATTAGGTGCCATTTTTGAATAAATAATTTCATGTAATTATTTTATATTGAGTTCATTTTTTCTTTTTAAAATTCATGATAATTTTGAAACGGTAAGATCTGCCTTTTCCCCATTATATTCCACCTGTCACTGAATCAAATAAAGAATTTGACTTTTCAGAAACACTTTGGGTGTGACTCTGGAAATACTGTTCACCTCACCTGAAGTATTTACGATTGTAACTGGAATTTCAGGATAGCACTTGTATTGTAAAGATAGGCAACAGGGATTTAAGGATAGCACTAGCACTTATAAAGATTGCAGCATACTTTTTTGATGTTTATTTGTAGCATGGGAA